TTTGTCCTAATCCAATGTCCCAATTTTCTTTTAATGAACCAAACTTAGAAATGAAAAACATCATCCTAGTATTCCCTCTTTTGAATAAAGTTACTCAAAAAGCAGTTTAATCTATTTACGTTTCTGCAGTTTGACAGAAGATGAAACGCAATCCATTATTTTAGGTTTGTAAGTATCCCTAATGCTTCGTGTACAAGCTTTTCCCTTAAATGCGGGCTAGTGAACTGAAAACCCTGGCTTGATCAGTTGTAGAATACACGAGAATTTACTGTACCCGGAACTTGGACCTTTTTTATTTTTTTTAAAAAATCAGACAGATCTTGGACATTTTTCTGTGTACAGTTGGTACTGAAATTCAGGATCATGCCTGAGTACAAATGTTCTATTTCTCATTTGCCTTTTGTAGTTGGATGACTGTCGTAATTTCAGTGGTGCCTGGGTACAAGATTTTGATTATGTTATTATGCTATACTGTACAAATCGAAATCAAGAACATCTCATTTGCCTTTTGTAGTTGGATGACTGCCATAATTAATTAATATCAATTATTGATAATTTTCAATTATTGATAATTGGATGTGCGGACATACACGTAAAGATAAAATTCAAAATGAACACGTATGCGAAAAAGTGAGGGTGGCATCTATTGAGGAAAAAATGGTAGAAAATCGGTTGAGATGGTTTGGGCATGTATAAAGAAGACCAAGGGAGGTACCAGTGAGAAGAGTGGAACATATAACTTTAAGTTCGATTAAGAGAGGTAGAGGAAGGCCTAAGAGAACACTTTTGAAAGTTATTGAACGCGATCTGTTAATTAATAACACTTCTAAAAGCTTGATAAATGATAGAGCACAATGGCGTCTTGCAATCCATGTAGTCGACCCCATTTAGTGGGATAAAAGCTTGTTGTTGTTGTATTGATAATTGATGTCAATTGAAAGAGTCAAATCAAATTTATTCATTCACGTGGCTTATTTGAGAAATTCAAGGATCATATGTGGAAGCATAATATTTCATCATGAGTGCTTTTGTATTCTTATTTTAATATTTCAGCATGGGTGCTTTTGTATATGTTCTTATTTTATATAGAATATAGGTTTGTCTTAAAAGAATTGTCATATTTCCTATGCAAAATCTTAAACTTGACAAGACACTTGTCATTCATAAATCATGTTAATATAAAAATAACTAAGATAATCAGATTCAAAAATTATAAATTGAATAAATGCGTCTAAAAAATAAATGGCTTTGTTAACAATATAAAAAGCAATAAAATGTAACGAAATGTTTCACTCAAAAGATACAAGAAAATAAATGATCTGAAAATGTTTACAGCACATGCTGCTCCATATCTCTTATTCTACCATACAATTTTTTTTTTTTAAATTTTATTCCTAACCTAGCACTAGCCCATAAAAAAAGAAACATGCATGCATCATGTATTCACATAAGCATGCGAACATTGAGTTCGAACTTAAGACTTTTTCTAAGGGAAGGTAGTTTTGCCCTAGGACAATTATCTATTGACATTCTACCATAATAATGGAACAAATAAAAATACATTGGAAATGAACAATTTATAAGACGTCTGGCTCATGAGTTTCCTTAATCTGATTTCCTGTATTACCTTGATCCGCTTGGTGGACTTCACTAACTGGATCACGAATCAAATTATTTTTCCACCATAATGTAAAACAAGAAATAGTTTCAAGATAAAAGAGGAAGAAACAGAATATTTAGACGGAAGCGTTCCTGATACGTAGGTTGATATGATGACATAATATCAAGGAAATTATTAAGGGTCAGCAAATATGTTTTGAGGAGCATCCAACATTATAAACTTGTGGGCAAAGCAATTTTCCTCTTAAAGTTATTAAAATAGAGCATTTTTATTTTTGACGTCAAATTCTTAATGTTGATTGTTAAAAAAATATTAACTGAGACTTCAACATTGACTATTAAAAAGTAGAGCACCCAACTTTTTAAACTAGTGGTCAAAATAATTTTTCTCTTAAAATTATTAAAATGAAACATTTTTACCCTTGATATCAAATTCTTAATGTTAATTGTTAAAAAAATATTAACTAAGACTTTAACATTGACCGTTATAGAATTTAATGGCAATGACAAAAATATTTTGTTTTAATATTTTAAAGGCAAAATTGTTACAACTAATAATTTGGAATGTTATGTGTTTTTTGGAGAATATTTGACATTGACCGTTAAAGAATTTAACGACAATGACAAAAATATTTTGTTTTAATATTTTAAAGGCAAAATTGTTACAGCTAATAATTTAGAATGTTATTTGTTTTTTGAAGAATATTTAAAGTAAAAATACACCTTTATCCAATTATCAATGCCCATAATTAAAGTTATACGAAGTAGAAATGCGTTGGCCATGGTTATCATGGCAATATAAACAGAAACCAAGTATAAGCCTTATACATTCCTTCTGCAGAACGAATATCACTCAGCGGGACTGGTATGATCTATGCATAGTATCCCTAATGAATGAAGAACATTATCCTAGTATTCTCTCTTAGCTTTTGAATAAAGTTACTCAAAAAAAGAAAAAAAAAAAACAGTTTAATCCATTTGCGTCTCTGCAGTTTGACAAAAGATGAAATGTAAGCAATCCATTATTTTAGGTTCGTAAGTATCCCAAATGCTTCAGGTACAAGCTTTTCCCTTAAATGTGGGCCAGTGAATTGAAAATCCTGGATTGATCAGTTGTGGAATACATGATAACTCACAATACATAAATGTTGCACTTTAAAAAAAAAAAAAAATCAGACTGATCTTGGACATTTTGCCGTGAACAGTTGGTTCTGACATTCAGGATCATGCTTGAGTGTAGAAGATGTTTGCCTTTTGTGGTTGGAATTAAGTTCTCGATTAAATTATATAAATGAGGTCCCACCTTATTTATTTTGCTTCAGAGGCATCGTGAATCACAGAATACGCTTGGATCAAGATGGATATGGATTATCTGCCGTAATAAAGCGTGCAGTGGTTGGAAAGTAAAACATCCTGACCGTAAATTGTGATCTGACGGCTGGTAAGAGATAGGTGTATTAAAAGGCTCATTATTTGCAAAACACACAATCACATTTTATTCAAAATAAAAATTTATAAAAAATATAATATTTTTAATAAATCTGTTAATCACTAATTTGAATAATACAGATTTTATTTAGATGGTCTAGTTTAATATTATTTTTTTATAAATCAACTATTCAAATGTACTTTGAACAGTTTAAATTTAAATATTAAATTTTTTTATAATATTTATAAATTTTTATTTTGATAAATCCAATATTACAAATAAAGATAATATTTCTATCACTTTCTAACAAATATTTTTTAAAAAATTATAATTTAAAAATTTAAAATATAAATCAAAATCAAAATCAAATTGTTCAGAGTTAATTTATAAAAAAATAAAAAATAATATTAAACTGAACCATTCAGATAAAATCTTTATTGTCAAATTAGTGATTAACAGATTTATTAAAAATATTATATTTTTTATAAATTTTTATTTTGAATAAAATGCGATTGTGTGTTTTGCAAATGAGGAGCATTTTTATACATTTATCTCTTATTAGCCATTAGATCAGAATTCACGGTCAGGATGTTTTGCTTATGCACGCTTTATTACTGCACATGATCCATATCCGGATCAGGAAATGAACACTATAGACATGGACAAACTAGAACTCCAGCTAAACTGTCTAGTTGTTCTCTTGTTTATTATTACCAACAACAAAATTTGATTATTTGTATTTGAATTTAGCTCAATAAAATTTGGAATAAAGAATAATTATTCACAATTGACTTTTCATTAATTCATAAATAATATTTTTTAAATTTACAACTATATTTAAATTCATAATCACTAGCCACATTCTATTGATTATTTTAATAATTATTTATTTTTAATTGGAAATAAAGATCATGGCACTTTCACAACATTTTTATAATTTGAGACCTTCAAGTATCATTAATTCATTTAACAAGGTTCATAATGGTTATTTTCTCAAATGGGTCTGATTTAAATGTTGCCAATATATATATATATATATATATGGAGAGACAGATAGTCTAGAACATTGAATTAATAATAGTTAAGTTTTCAAATTTTTTTTAAGAAATAAGTTGAAAATATTGATAAAAATAATTATAAATATAGGAGTTTCAATTGCAAATAAGTACTTAAATATTAAATGTAACTCTTAGATTGTAACAAGAATTTTTGTTGGTAATTGTTTGAATTTGTATTTATAGTTCATTTTTTAGAAAATTTTGTCAGGAATCTAGTGTCATTAATTCAATTTTTTGAGATCTAAATGTCAATCTTCCTATATATATATATATATATATATATCTCCCTCCATATACATAATATAAGTTATAGTTAACTAATTCATAATTTACAAATAATATTAGTTGAAACCTTGAATTTTTTAAAATTTTCAAATCTTTTCATTAAATACCCTATATAAGACCTTCAATAATAATAATTAAAATTTGAATGCATGATTTTTTAAAAAATATTAATAAATAAAATAGAGGTATAGTTAAAAAAAATTAAATATTAAGATTATCTAATACCTTATATTTTGGACTAAGCAAAACTCTTAAAAGAATATTATATTGTGGTTCGGAAGAAGTATAGTAAGTTTTACTACACGAATGAATTGGTTTTTACTTTCAAAAAATTACATCAAAATCCCAAGCGTGGTCCAAGTTATTTAGTTAAAACAATCCAACAAATAAAATTAAAAATTTTGCAATAATAATATCTAACATGTATAGAAGGATAAGGTAATGAATGATGAGCTTGAAAGATTTTCAACTCAGTGAACCAGGAATTAATACCGCTGCTTTGGTCACACATAATAAAGAATGGGAACCATGGAAAGAGTGTTAGGAATTAATGCCGGCACTAATTATCAATGTTATATTGTTATTAGAATTGGAACAAACTAGCCGGCTCGACCGGTTTCACTGGGAACCAAACATATGTCCGATCTTGATAGATGCCAAAACTGCTAGAGAATTTACAAGATATGTGGCTCATGAGTTTCACTAATCTGATTTCCTACATCACCTTGATCCCCTTGGTTGACTTTTCCACCGACTGGATCGCCGATCAAATCATCATCCCAACCATAAAATAAAAAAATAATCAGTCTTCTGGTCCAGAAAATAGTTTTCATTGGACGCAGTCCTGTGACGTAAGTTGACACGATTAAAGGATAGGCGATGATTCCAATAACATATGCAATATATAGAAGATAACCTTCCAAAATCGTCATTAAAGCAAATAGAAATGCGACGGTCATGGCTATTATAGCCAAACAAACTAAAAACGAAGCAGCCTTATACATTCCTTCTGCAGAACGACGATCATTCAGTGGGACGAATATAAGAATAACAACTCCGAGGAATGAGCTATACATAGCAATCGTGTCCCAAGCAATGAACACCTTGAAAAAGAATCATTGTTCAAAACTGCCTTGCCTCTTTCTTTTGGCTTTGAGTACTCAGAAGAGTTAAACCCACCTGGCACTGTGATACCAGCTGCAAATGTCACTGTGGCTATCAATATGGCCACAAGCATCAGTGTGTTGGCTGCTTTTTTAGCATTCCTTTCTGTATTCCTTGATGCAACAAGTCGTTCACTCAAGTAATTGGCCTTTACGGGGACGCCAGCCCTCCTTAAAATCGAATCTGCTATACTCTGCATAGTAATCAAATCGCATCATATGTATATCTTTACATGCATGCTCTGTTAAAAATATATATATATATATACACATATTGTTATATAGAACAACATTAATTATAGAATCGAAGATAAAAATACTTGATAAAAGGAAGAAATAGTTTATATATGTACTTATCATTGTTACCTCATCATATGTCATTGGAATTTTACACTTCATCTGAACAATACCTCGAGCTGTTAAACCTTTGTTATTCTCAAGGTTCACATTGATTCTTTTGTCTTGTGACAAATGGTATAGACACCAAAGACGCAGTTCTTCTGAAGCCAAATGCAGTGGGGTATCTCCATTATGGTCTTTCTCATTCACAGTTTCAGGACGGATCTTTGGATTTCCCAATAAATGCTTCACCATCTTGTTCTGTCCTCTCGTTGCCGCCATGTGAAGAATGTTTTGACCTTCATTATTGAGCCAAAGTCCAACATCAAACCATTCTAGTTCGAGAAATTTTTTGACCACCTTAACATGGCCCATTTTACAGGCAAGGTGAACTGGAAGATTGCCCTCTGAGTTTCGTTTAAAAGCAATCATCTTAGACTTGTCTAACATTATACCAACACCTTCCACATAACCAGCATGTGCTGCATGATGAAGGGGGCTGTTTCCCATCTCATCTCTCTGATATATTAGCTCTTCTTTCCGATCCACTATCCTTTTCAATAGATCTGCAGTAGAAAAACAAGCATATATAAAAAAGGTGAAAGAGAATCAAACACAAAAACGCTAGGCTAATTAATTAATTAATTAGTAAATGCACACAAACCACGTTTTCGTTTTGATATGGCGGCATGAAGTGGAGAGTCTCCATTTGAAATGTCGTTGACTGAGCTAAATGGAATTTGCAAGAGACGCTCAAGAACTTCCGCATTCTGTGTCAGGGCTGCCAAATACATTGGTGATTTACAACCATGCTCGGAGTTCCAAGTCCAATAGGAAGCCTGCTGATCTGTAGGAGTGTGTTCCTGACTTAAAAGGACATTAACTCCCGCAAGATGCTCGGACAGAACTGCCTCGTGCAAAGCTGTGTTGCCATAATTATTCTTTGATGTTACAAATTGACCAACGTCATTCAATTCGATCAACTCAGATGGAATGAGCTCTTTACATTTGGACAGAATGACATTCATTGCTTCAATATTCTTAGCCCTGGCAGCAACATGGAGGGGACTGTCACCTTTCCTGTTTCTGTTATTCAAAAGCGCAGGAGATTGTTGAGCAATCAGCTCTACAACTTCTGCTTTCCCGAATTCAGCAGCAACATGGAGCAACGAATCATCTGAGGGAGAAACCTGATTGAAGATGATTGACACATGAAATTGGTTTTGTGTACATACCTTCTCCAATTCATTGACAAAGGTATCTAAATCTGTATTCCCATCACGAACAACCTTGTACAGCTCGTAATCCAAAATGTCTTCATTGTTGTCACCAAGTCTCCGATGATCAATTGATGCACTGAACTGCCTGTTCTTGAGCTGACGTACCCTTTCGTAGCATCGCTCCCTTCGGCCGGAATCTCTCTCTTCCATGGGAATTTAATATGATTGAGATTTCTCTGTGCGAACCAAAATGTTAAAGCTAGTAATTGTTTACCCAAGTGCAATTTAATTCAGCATAAGGGAACTTGTATATATATACTAACTATGCAACTCATGTCAATTCAACTACGTACAAATTAGACAATTTTGACGCTTTCTTCCCACAAAATGATTGGAACATTTAGAATCTTTTTAATACCAGATAAAAAATTCATTTTAAAAATAAAAATATTTTTATTTGTAGTTCCCAATGAATTTTATAGGAGCTATTTTAATTAGGCCCAAGTAACTCACAGGGAGTCACTTGGACCAGTCAAGAGGTTTGACAAGAAATAGGTGGAACAGAAGCAAGTGGAGCAAAGATATTGATTGGGCAAAAGAAGGGACAAAAAACTTTGTGGAATTTTTATATTTGAAAAGGAACAAAGACAGATGGTCAAAAAAAAAAAAAAAAAAAGGGAACAAAGGCAAAGTGCATGTCCTATCATGGGGTTTGGATTTTGATCAAGTACGATGGGGAAAAACCGTGTCCGGATTTCGTGGACGTAGAAAAGTCGTAATTGTCATTGAAAGGAATCCAATTTAATATGATATAATTTTACAATTTTAGAATTAAAACATTCTTTTTTTTTTTTTAAGAAATAAATGAACCTAATTGAGAGCAAAATGAATTGGAAACCAGCACTTGGTCTGGTTTAATTAACTCTCAGAACCAAAATGTTAGAGCTCTTAATTGTTTGTCCAAATGTACAATTTAATTCAACAGAAGGGATGCAACACGTGTCAATTCCAGGACGTACAAATTAAAATTAGACAATTTTGACGCCTTCTTCCCACAAAGTGACGGGAACATTTAGAATTTTTTAACACCAGAATAAACAATCAATTTTAAAAATAAAAATATTTTTATTTGTAGTTCCCAGTGAATTTTATTGGAGCTATATTAATTAGGTCCAACCAACTCAGATGGAGTCACTTAGACCAGTCATGACCTTTGTTTAGAAGAACAAGCGCGGAGTGCTTTTTAGCATACTTTGAAGACTGTGTTTTGCCAGATCAGAAATGGTTAGACAATTTTTGTGCGTTCCTCCCACAAAATTCTGTCAGATTAGACAATTTTTATGCGTTCCTTCCACAAAATTATTGGAATATTAAGAATCTCTTTAATTAAAAAAAGAGGGAGAATTACATATAAGTTTTAAATAAAAAAATTAATTACCACAAATTTCAGCCAGTTATAAATAGAGAAAGTTAACGCATTGAGGAAACAATCATTCTTTTTCTTTGGGACATGTGTGTGTGTGTGTGTTTGTAATTATGCCCTATGAATGTTGAAACTAACTTTCTGGGAATGTACACCTGTAAAGTCTCCTAGAAAATGTATCTAACTTGCTATGAAAATTGTTAGGTACTAGTGCTTTGTCGCAATTAAAACGTAGGGCCATACTTTTTATCGTCGGTGAGAAGATGTTAAGGACACTCACAATTACATTATTGACCATGCATGTCAGAGCAGTTATTAATTTACTAGACACGTTAAAGGTACTTAATCAATTTCTAAACCAATCTATCATGATAACTAAAAGATAACCAAGCATATTACAGGTTATTATTGTAAAAAGAAAAATAAAAAAAGGAAATGATTATTTTTTCTCAGGGGTATGTTTGTAATTCTGCCATAGAAAGCATATTTTTTACATTTATATGGTAGACAATAAAGTGACAAGTCGATGCAGAAGGACGAGAACGAGAAAATAGATATATTTAAACGGAAAGACAACTTTTTTTTTTTTAGTCTGGAAGTTAGTTTAAATATGACAAATCGTGAAACATGATAGTTTAAATATGACAAATCGTGAAACATGATTGATTTCAATGTCGAGGACAAGGAATGAATAGATACAGGATACCAACAATAGACACAAAATCTAAGGACCTTTGGCAAATTATGAAATTCATCTGGTCTTATTAATAAGGCTAAGAGACTATAGAGTATGTATTTTGATCTTACTTATTGGATGTCTCAATAATTATTATGTACATTTTTACTATTTTATCTTTATTAAATATTAAAAAAGTTATTAAATGCTAGAGTATTTTATATTTAAACAATATAGTTCTCTAGTTATATTTATAAATTACTTTCAATATTAGTAGTAGAGCCACAACCTAGGGCAGGGGATGCAGGATAATTTAATAAAAATTAATATTTTTTAAAATATAATAATTATTAAATGTGACTAAAATAATAGTGACATAAATAGATTGATTATCATTTCTTTCTTAAAAATTACATTCAACAAGTTGATATGATCTTTTATGTATATATGCTCTTTATATCATATGTAAATCATTAAACTATTTTATATTAATAAGTTTTTGAACTTAAATATTTTTATTTAGTTTAGAGGTGCAAAATATCAAAAATAAAAGATGCATAGTTGTAAAATTTATATCACATACTTGTATATTTTCCAAGTGCCGTGCATTTGCCCCCTCACTATCATGTGGCTCTGCCAATATTCAACATGTTTTATTAGAATAAAAGGAAACCTCAAAACAGCTAACTTTATATTAAAATTTAATAAGTTATTAATGTAATTTGTTTCTATTAAATATAAATATTTTACAAAACATTTTTTCTCCAACATTAAATTGAGAGTAAAAGGGTAAATTTTGTTGAAAATTTAATCACATTAGGACAAAAAAATATTATTACTTTGCCATATAAATAGGACCTAAAGGAGTATATTGAATAGGAGTAAAGTTAAAAATTTATTAAATTTTAAAACATAATTAATGAGGCTTAATATTTTCTTTTGTTCTGGAGAAAATGTTAGAATTGATTTATAAATAAAATTAGATGGAGTATTTGTTCATAACTTATGAAGAAAATAGGAGAATTCTAGGAAACAAATTAATTGCGAAGTTTGGGGAGGTGTAAGCAACATCTCCAAGAAGACTTTTGCCCGTTTGGGTAGGCGTTTATAATCGATAATGGGAATCTATACCATGGTTTTCGTTTTAGTTATTTTTCTAAAGAAAAAGGCTAAACTTTTTATTTTTTATATCATCAGCTTCGTCCTCTTGCCAAATACATGTATATATATATAGTTTTATTTTTATATAAATTTAATTAATATTATAATATATTATAATTTAAATTTACAATTAATCAGTATGTAATTACATGTTAAATAATTATATAAATATTGAATGGATAACTATTATACATATTTTATTTCCTAAATAGAGTTCAACAAATTTAATAATATTACATAAAATATTATTAATATTTATATTTTAAAAAGTAATGTCCTTTATTACAATTTGCAAGATTAAAATTGATTTTGACTAAAATTATCCAAACATTGATATTTAAGAAATAATATCTAATTTAAAATTAATATTTAATTTTATTAAAATTAATTTTAAAAAATAATATCCAAACACAATCATGTTATGTCATAATCAATTATAATAAAAATTAATCATATTAATAAAATTTTTTAATTAAAATCCAAGCACACCCTTAAAATGTCAATTATGAGTGCAGTTGATTTAATATTAGAAGTTTCACATGAAATAAAATCAAGTTAAATATATATATATATATATATATAGACAAATGAAGTTATTACTTTAGGATTTTTGTTTAAAATTTTGGTTTGAATCCACTTGTAAATATGCATTGCTATCCTCAAAGTTTCGAACTTCTACATCCTACAAAAGAAATACTCCCTATAATTTTATTTATAAATCACTTTTATTATTTTCATTGAAATCAAGAAAAATCTTAAATTTTATTAATTTGATTTAAAATTTCAACAAGTTTTTAACTTTATCCCTATTAGATATACCTACTTTAAAATAAAATACCTTAATATTTAATAAACTTTTCTACATTTAATAGAAATAAAATAATAAAGATAAATATAATAATTATTAAAATATTTTATAAATAGAATTAAAATAAATATTTTTATTTATTTTATAAATAAATTATAAATCGAAAATCGCCCTCCGGGGGGGGGGGGTTCTTGAGACGGTTTAACGCACGTAAATGAAAGACAAAATGACAGGTGAGACCGTGAGAGGTTTGAGCACACTTAAATGAAAGACAAAATGACATATGGACCCGATAAAGACATTTAAAATATTTTACCTAAAAAAAAAAGACGTTGAAAATACTGTATAAAAAAAATGTTGAAACCAACTTTCTGGGAATGTACACAGTCTCCCAGAAAGTGCATCTAACTTTTCTATGAAAATTGTTACGCATAGCATTTGTTACAAGTAAAATTAATATAAGAGATTATTTGACACCTATACAAAATATGAAGTTATTAAAAAAGCAGTTTGAAGAAATGAATCTTGCACCCAGTTGAATGCTCTCAGAGGCAATGGATTTGAATAAATGAAAGCAGGATTTCAAAGCGTCTAAGCCATCAGTGACTGCCAGCATTAACATAATGTAACTGAAATAAGATAATAACAATAATATGTTGTAACTACAATAGTCAATAGCAGCATCACTGTTGTCAATAGTTATTTTTTTTATTATTTATAGATATCTTTATATTATTATAAACCCATTTATTTAAGATTAAAAAAATATTTTTAAATACTTTATAAATTTTATAAAAAATATTCTTTTGTATAAATTTTATAACAAGCATGCATTATTTTATGTTTGATTATAATAATAAAAAAGTAATTATTAATTAATTATTTTTAAATTTTATGATATCTTTCTTGATTTTTTTATAAAAATAATTTATTATTATATTATTTTAAAATTTTATAATATTTTTGCGTATTTTATCTTTTTAAAATACTCTCTCTCATTTATCATATAAGATTATTTTTAAAAATTACTCAAATTAATTTATTAAAATAATCAGATATTTTTTTTAAACAAATATCATAAAAACTCAAAATAATTTTTTAAAGAAAATAATTAATTTTTTATGAAATAAATTAAAACAAATACGTCCACAATCAAATACTTAATGTAGACATTTTTTTTAAATAAAATTTAAGC